TTTATGATCAGTAGAACAAGTATGATGCGAACTTAACTAATTTTTTAAAAATAAAAATTTGTTTAAATTTTGCATGTGAATTCTGCATACAGACATATATGAAAGACTAAATAATTACAATAATTACCTCATTTAAGAACTTTTTACTAATACCTTTTGAATTTCGAAGCCTTTTTATGGCAACAGTTTTATTATATCGAGATACTCTAGAAGATTTACGATTTTTATATTCCGGTGTACCGTCAGACCATTTTGCTTTGGAAATGATACCAAATCCTCCTTCTGATATTTTTTCTAAATTTGAAATTTTAGAAGGTGGAATCCATTCCATTATGGAATAATGTGAAGTCTGAAATTTTGCAATAAAATCATAGACATTTAATGGATTAGAATTTTTATCAATATTTTTCATATAATCAGCAATCTGATGATCATCTTGATCATCTCTAATTTTTATGTTATTAAGAAATTCGACAATATTACTATTTACGTTGCTTATATAGAGATAGATAAATGATATTCTTTTGCATTTCCTACATTGAGATTGATCTGTCAATTCAAAAATAACATTTGTCGTTAAACAATATCTACATCCAGAATGAATTACACGGCAACATGTGCACCATTTGTGACAATCAGATAATAATTCCAGTCCTTTACTACAATTATAACAATAACTATTATAATCCCACCATGGTAAATAAAGAATTGGTATAAGCTTTTTAATTAAAGTCGATTCTACCCATCCAGAAGAAATCTTATAACAATCTGAACATATCTGAGCGTAAACTTTATAATCATTATTGAAAATTTTCTCCGGCATCTGATAAACAAACTTCCCACATAATTTACAATCCTTATTATTTTCATATACTTTTAATTTATGACCATCATACAATTTATACATATTAGAATGGTGTACTTGATAAAAATATAAAATATCTGAGCAAGTTTCACACCATTCTTGAATGTCTTGCGTGCAAAAATCCGCATTCCTAGCTTCATGTTTATCACAATAAGTACCATTTGTAACTATAAGTAGATCCAAATACGTATTATTATCAGTTATGCAATTAATATAATTAGATAAGCAATTTTTACAATATCTTTGGTAAAATGAAAGTGACCAAGAGTATTCATTTCCACAATGACAATTAGTCTTAGGTTTAAAAGGAATAAACGTAATTGGTATAGGACTGGATTTTAATTTTGGAGTTGGATCAAAAGAATTTTCAAGTTCCATTTGTTATAAAATGAAATATTTTAAAATATGAAAAATCTCACGATACTTATAGTTATATAATGTTACACCTATTTATTCTAGAGTTCTAGAGTAGAGTTCGAGAGATACACAATAATTTGTGCTACCCGAAACATCGGCCCAAATTAGTAAAAAATTGAAAGCAAACTTTCTTACTTCCTAAATAAGCCAACCCGACAGCTGGAAGTTAAAGAATATAAAAAAAAAAAAACTCGAAATAATTACTACAGCCCGTCATCACTCCTAAAAAACCTTAACTATGCAAATTAAAGCGGTCCAAATTACCTGGAAAAGATATTATTTCGTCAGAATAATTAAGCCAAAATGATCAAGTTAATCCATGAAAAATACTTGGCAAAAGTGACATTTTGAAAAATTGATATAATCAAATAAATTACTAATGAAATATATTTTTTCCAGAAATTGGTAACATTCTTTACAAAATGAATTGTCCTAAAAAATTGTAACGAAAGTTTTGATTAAAAATAATATAAAATTTAATTATATAAATAGTATTTTAAATAAAATTTTGAATTTAAAATTTATTTTATTCATAGTGCTTTCCAACATTTTGAAATCATCATCTGAGATTTTCAGCAGCACGCACGCATAACTTTAAAACGTCTAATGACATAAATGTACCTATATTACAATAGAACTCTAAATTTCTATAATAGAAGAAGCGTAATGTAACGATTTTCCTCAACCGCCACTACCCAAAGGAAGCAAACCAACCCGAAAGAGAAATCTAAAGGAGCAAAGTTAAAAAAATAAAGGAATCGTTCGATCGCTGCGTCCTAAAACGATAAAAAAAAATAGACTCGAAATATTTGCTGCGGCCACAGCGATCCCAACCACAAATAATTTAATGAAATTTTACCTAAAAAGGAAAAAAGTTTTAAAAGAAACCGCGTTCCAACCTGAATGATAACCATCGCAAGAAAAATTAAATAAAAAAACCTTGTCAATGCAGACTGATTCCGAAATAGGAAATACAATTGACATGAATAAAGTAGGAATCGATTAATCGCGAAATTTCCATTTCTAAACGATATTATTTATTGAGTAGCGATTTTTTGATCTCAAATTGAATGCGAACTGTCACCTATATAATTTATCAAAAAAATAGATCATTTAATAAATTTCAATAAATTTATTAAGGTTATGTGTTTTCGTTGCATAGATTAAGGATAAAATCACTAAAGAGGCTAAAGGTACCTGTAAATTTTCATACTAGATAACCTTTATTCGTATTTTTTTTTTTTATTTTTTAAAACTAAAATCACTGACATTTTATTATTTCAAGGAATCTTTTAAACAATGACTCGAAAACACGACAGGTTCGCTTTCAAGGTGACACTTGTGCTGTTGTCACGCCAAGGCGACGACCTATTTCTTCAACTTCCGTTTCTTCTATCCCCCTTCAATTCCTTCATCTTCTGCCCTTTAATAACTGTACCTTCTTTTCCTTCCCCTCTTTTACAGCTGCATCTTCCTCTTTATCTTCTCTTTCTTCAGATTTTCTCCTCCTTCCTTCGCCCTCTTCTTCATCCCATAATACACCTCCTATTATTACATCTCCTTCCTTATTTTTTTCCCTCTCCTATTTCTTCCGCTTCTCCCATTTCTTCGATTTCCTCCACTCCTCCAGATTTTTTTACTTCTCGCATCTTCCTCCGTTCCTCATCCAAATTTATCTTTTCATCTCCTTCCACTTCCTCCATTTCTAATTCTTTTACCCCAACTTTAACCTTCACGTTTTTAACCGTCCCTTAATTCATTATCGCCTTCTTAGGTGTCCGGAGCCGATGGATCTTGATCCAAAATCCTCTAATCAGTGACCCGAACCAATGGATCTTGATCCTCCTGGTTATTACATAGCCATTGATTATGGTTTTTATTCCTTCCCCCTCCGTTAAACTGGCTACCTCTCCTTCTTTTCGTCGTCTTGGCCGGCATAAAAAAATTTAAAAATTAAAAAAATTCACCCTTTTAATAAATTTCACTAGGGTGTTTATTTTTTGGTAAGCATGCTTACGATACAAAGTATCGTATATGTTATATGATGTTTGCTGTCCTTTTTGCAATTAAAATATTACCTTTTGGCCACTTCATTCGTATTTTTTTTAGCTAGAATTTATATTTATCTTTTATTTTATATAAATATATATATATATATAAATTATCATTAAGCTTTCTTTATTTATTTCGATGATGTCCTGAGGTGTACATTCCTTTTTTTTTTTAAAAAAAAAATAATATTATATCTCCATTATATTCAATTTCACATTTTTTCACCTCAAATGAGCTAACAGATTTGATATGCGGTGGTACAAGTTGTCTTTACCTGAATGAAGCTTGCCACCTCTACGCGGAGTTCAGGAGAAACGGTTATAGTTAGAACTATAACTGGTTAAGCGCAAGCATTAAAAATGGTAATTACATATTAATATTTGCAAATACTAAATAAAATCTAATAATTCTGTCAATAACAAACTAAACTATTCCCAAACGAACAAAAATAAAAAATTAGGCGTGCAAAAGTAAAAAAAAAATAACTAACGAAGATGGCAACCTAATAAACTAATTTAATTTATGATTCGCTTCTTTTTTATTTTTTTTAAAAAAACAATTCATTTAAGAATCATCTTGTGTATGTGTTTTGTTAATTTTCAGATAAGATTGGAATTTGTTCTATAGTTTAAGTGAAGCTATAATAAAAAAAATATATTTAAAAAATACATTTGATTGATGCAATGATCAAAAAAAAGCAAAAGATGGTGCAATACCCTTACCTAATGATTCTAACTCGTTAAGAGAAGAAAATGATAAACGGAAAATTAAAAGATTTGATCGCAAACCGGAAATTTTAAAAAAATAAAAAATAATATGAAACTAAAAAACTATACAAACAAAAAGCACACCGATTATTTTTGAAGCAAGCCTGAAGTGGATCCTAATAATTATTGATAATAATAAATGAAATAAATATCGTCTATCGTTGCGGGCCAAAGCGAAAGAACCCAAATTAATGAAACTAAAGAAACACGTACCGCCTCTGACTCAATCGGAAGTTCATTATCCACAACCGCAACTGCATACATTGCGAAAGATGGGAAGACATTTTGTTGCGGGATATATGCTACAATGAACCTTGTTCGTGGTGGTTTTGGGTACTAAAAAAAAAAAATATGCATGAAACCCGATAGAAACATAAAAAAGTCCCAATATTAGCCGGGCAAATTGATTTTTTTTAGAATCTCGTAACCCGCCGTATCTTACGGTCTAGAGCCTAATAAACTTAGGACTATAAATTTGGCCAGATTTAGCACAATCATAAAAATCTTAATTCTGACCGAAAATTGAAATTCGGCCAGTGTTAACCTGTTAACCGGTGTTATTAGCACATCATACGGCGCCTCAGATGATCTTACACTGCGCCGAAAATCGTTTGATAGACTTTATAATACATGTATCGAATAATTTACTTTTTATTATAAATATTATATAGACTTCTTTTTATTACTTATATTATATTATCTAGTTTTAATTATATTTATCGTTTATAATTATCAAAAAAAAAAAAAAGCGTAGTATAGTACTAGTTAACAATTTTATATAAATAGACCTGTAAATTGACCTTGGGTCGGACAGAGTTTTGCTCAGAGATTGAGATAAGTCTTGGGACTAGACTTATAACTCTACAGATTAATAAAGTTACTATTTACACTTTCAACCTTCTTCTTGTCTTCATCATAGGATTGATTGTGATAACCTACTACACAAGTGAATCGTGATAA